GAGTCACAGAGGACAAGTTACGCGGGACAGTATACGGAACGGATACCGGAAATGAGAAAATACTCCATAAAAATTAACGCCCTTCGGTTGAAATTGATATTCACTGTGTTTAAACTTATCCTAAGTCTCTGAAAGACAGTCCTGCTAAACATCCTGAAAGGAATTGGTGCGTTATCAGTATATCGCATAGGATTGCCAGGAAGTAAGAATTTTGAAATGTTACATCAGCATTTACTCTCAACTTTGAAAGGACTTCACTTTTTCCGCAAAGCAACTTCACTTACATCTAAGTACTGTTTTACTATACTCCTCTTCACTTCTTCAGTGATCTTGGAATTAGCCATATCACTCCGCAGAAAATCCAGAGTTTGTTTTGGATGGAAATGCACTCCTGACTTCCTGTTTATCGCTTTATCATAAACCTTTGCAGATTCGGATGGAGAGTATTTCTGAATTTTACTGTTTAAAGAAAACAAAATGGAAGAGCTTCTAAGGACAGTGTAAAGTGATTTCAAAGAAAAGCTTGTAAAACCCTCAGTGTAGGTAGTTGTACTTTAATAACTTCACATGCAATAGACACCCTGGCAGGAAAGGAAATCATTGCTTTTTCTAAGCCTAAGTTTCAATTCATTCAACTTACCATGTGTTTGGTTTTTCTCTTACACAAATCTATTGCTTAAAAATTAGTTACAATCCACTCTGAAGAAAAACCCCATTCCAAACTTAATTCTTACAAAGAACCCACCAGATAACACGATGACCTGTCATCAAAACATCCTTACCTATCAGAGAATCCACAGAGGTTCTTTAAATGCTGTTTCAGCATCAAAAGCAGTAATATGCCTTGGGAGACATTTGCAAATTCAATTAAAGGAGCTGAATTTTCTGGTAAACATTTCATCACAGCATTTATATCATTTTCTTCATCGGAATCTGAATCGGAGTCTACTCGTTTCCGTAACCTCCGAGGCTTAGAAGGTTCCTCCTCACTTTCACTCTCGCTACCACTGTTACTGTCACTCTCAGTCTCCTCATCTGATGAAGGTTTTCTTTCCTTTTTTTTGTCTTTCACCATAGACTGCAAGAAAAAGAAGTTAACACACATTCCAAAATTAGAGTGAGTAGCATTATCTATGCTTCCAAAAAATCTTTCCAAAATAACTACTGGCTTAGATTAGGAAGAATTCCGTGAGCAATGTCATTAATTTATAACTTTATATTGAAAATCAAAATTATTCATGGTAAAAAGATGCTGAAAAATTGATCCAAAGATCATTTTTGCAAGGTGGGGACAGAAGAGACTGAAGCAACAAGTACGCCGCTGGCATGTTACTCTTAAAAGACTGCTCAAGTTTGTTAGTAGTGAAAGGAAAAGGCTAAATACACTAAATCAGGAAGAAAAATCTGTTTTTCTTTCAGCTAGGTTTCATTTCCGTGTGTTGCACAGATTTCCATTTGTTCTTCGGTACAGACCAGTCCAAACTGGTGTTAATCATTGTCTCTAAGGTTCTCTGATACTAACCGTAGAGAAACCCTCCAGCATACACAGTATTCATAAAAATCAGTTGTGCTACTCGTAGAGCTACGGAACTGCACAAGGTGCATTACCGCTGCATGCAATATGGTTTTTCGTAACTCAGAATTTAAGATGTCCTAACGGGGTCTCATCCTCACTGCGCTGGGTGCCTCACACTGCTCCCCGGTCTGAAGAACGAACTTTCTAAGATGAAACAGTGACTTTGGTGGGGTGAGGATTCAAAGCATCGTACCTTCCAGGCATCAACTCCAACTTGTACTTACTAGACAGACTGGACATTCTTGAAACGGGTTTGCTTCCTGACAGTTTGCACCTTCTACTGTTAAAGTTGTCCAGAAAATGAAGACACTGAAGTCTTTAAGAAGCACAGACCTTTTCCTTACAGAACCGTGTATTGCCATAACAACAGCTACTTCAGGTTCTTACATGCTACCTTAAGAAAAGGCATATCGGGCACTCTTTTGTTGCACTAAACAACGTATTTAACGTCTCTCAGGTGACACACATGCAGCTGGCATCAGCTAGACAAGAGAGTAAACAGCCAGCCGGATTTTATTACTACTGTTATACAAGCAACCACAATAAACTGGTGTTTTATGAGGATTCTGCGTTCATGTGCTTCCAGATGCATGCAGTTATTATTCAGCCATATCAGGGAATTAAACAGATTTGATGTCAAGATCTCAAAATTCATCATTCTTTTTGAGTAGTGTAAGCAGCAATGGAAGGAAAGTTTTTAACTGACGTCTGCCTGATGCAGGCCAGAACAGAAAAGGTGACTTGTTTTTAACTACTGGCTACAAAGTAGCGCTGCTGGTCTCTGTTATAACAATGGTACTGTATTCACCGGAAAATCGACCAAGTTAGAGAGAAGTTAAAGTTGCCACCATAACAGATGCACTAAAATATGAATATAAATACACATACCTCTTTAAATGACTGCAGGAGGTTGCTACCAGAAACTGATAGTGTAATGTCTATATGATGCATTATAACCAGTGGCTCTTCCTTTGTTTGATAAGGAAAACAGGCTAGATTGTCTGCTATGTACAAGAGCATATTCACCTCTGTTTTCTGGAATTTAAAAGAAGCAAAGTACATATAAATACACACCCCAATATCTTAAGGTTTTTATACTTATCCTGTGTTCCTAACAGTCCAGAGCAAAAACATGGTCACAAATTTTATTCGGTGTACCCCGCAAGCCCACTCGAAACAACACGTATATATGCAAAATTTAGTCATACCTGAAGACACATTATTTCTGATCAGTCCAAACTAGGTATAGAAAAGTACAGAAAGATGCAAAAGTAACAAATGCATTCTATTATAGAAATAATATTATTTACCTTATATTACAAAGCAAAATGAATTACATCATGGGAAAAAAAGTTAGAATAATTATGTCATGAAAATACATTGCAAAAGGAGAATTTAAACTTGCAATGCTGTATCTTAATTTCTTTTTAAGTGATGGAAATGTGATGCTTACTGCAGTATCATCAAAGAGGTTGAGCAAGGAAATTAGAAATGCTCGTCTGTGTTGTCTGTTCCCTCGGATCATGGAGTACAGGTGTGAACACAACGCACTGGATGATTCATCGTGTCTAAAACCTCTCACAGGATCTTTTGGGCAGGTATTAATTGCCTGTTGCACCTGGTAAGACATCTTCATACCAGCCACTGCTTTCATCTGAAACGGAAATGTGTTTAATTTAAACCATTGCTTTCAAAGCACTAAAACTTACTCCTTTTAAGTAGATGCTCATCTGAAGTTTAACTTCAGAACACGCACTGAGTCGGTACTACCTTCTGAGTCAGCAAAAACAGAACTTGTGGCAGAGATCAGAATGTCTTGTGAACTGCTTTCACTGTAAATACTGTTAGAAGCATGCAGCTAATCTGCCTACCCACTACAACTAGGTACTCCAATTTAAACAATTTTCAGGAATACTGCAATGTTTTCATACATGAACAGAGTATTTTACCAAATGTGTATGCTTGATGTCACTCGTAGTGAAACCAACATATTAGTACAATAGGAATAACACACAGACAGTGAGGGTTTTTTTGCATATATACTGTAATTTCCATCTGCTATTACTTATTTCAAGGCTCCTGCTTTAGTTTCACAAGAAGGTGAATCTCTGGTTAGGATGCATATCCAACTT